TGCCTTTGTGACTCAGGCATGGATAGTGAATCCCGAGAATATTTAAGTTGCCTTAGTTAATCTCTCTATATGAGTCTCACGCATGAACAAACCGATGTATGTTGTACTACCTTTTATGGGGTAATCACATGACAGCATTCTTCTGTTAATCCAGGAGCCAATATCCTAATTTAGCACGTTATTATCATTGTTCGTGCATTATTTAGCGAATGTTTGCATTCCTGGCCTGTTGCTTTTACAGGTTTATACACATTATCTTTAACACGTCGGCTTTGGTGACCAATATTATCCGTAAAAGAGGTTTTATTGGTTTAGATCGTGTAAATATAAATGTGCCGTTAAACCCGCCACCACCCAACACAGCCAATTAGTCGTGATAATACACTACGCACAATTAATATATATCTATTTGCATTTTTTGTCATAAAACCGTGCCATATGTTCTACTTTTGAATATAATAGCACATTTCTTATCTTGCATGTATAGCAAATGTTATATACATGCACGCATCACAGTACAATTAAAATCCTTTAACTATTTCCACACCCAAGTGAAATACTGAGAGAAAACGAACCTAGTAATCGGGTAGGGGAGGCACAACTATATCCGGTTATGGGATTTAATCCTGATTTTGGGGGGAAATTGTTCAGTTTCTGACATATGGAACATTCAGCGGACGGATCGTTCTCAGGAACCTAAACCTTCCGTAACCCAGGGACTCCCTTTACATCATTCTGGAATTGGCGCACAAATGTTGAGCACAACTCCTGGCAGACTCGTGCGGTGTGGGGAATGAAGAGGTGGAGAGCGTGTGGCTTGTTTGCGCACCGCTCCGCTTGGAGAAACCCAATGCCGGTATACCACATGAGGTCACGGGGTCACGGATGTGTGCGCTGCACACAGTCGAATTTCAGTTCTTTGGAATATGCAGAGCAACATCTGCTTGCAGCGACTTTTCTTGAGCGAAGAAGTGGAAAACGTTCGATTGGGATGTTTCACCAAATCCTTTAATGAGTGCTTGGTGTGTTGGAAGGAAACCCGAGAACCAGAAGTAAAGCAGCACGTAGGAATGTGGGACAACGCTCGATGCTCTCCACTAATGGACATCTCCTGGCCACTTTGGATCGCATCACGTGTGGAAGATTCTCAAACATCTACAGGTCCACACACATTCCACTCGAGAACGTCAAGCTTAAAAGGCAAACAAAAAGGTTAAAAAGGTCCAGGTATATCCCAAAGACAATATTTAGTCTAATAAACGCATCTTCTCTGTTCTCTTTTAAAACACTTTAACATAACTACATTTTGTACCCGTTCAAATTAGGTGAACAGAATGACATTTAAAATTGAAAGCCAGGTAAGTGTCTCCCTGTTCAAGCACTGTTGGGCAGTGTTCACTTCGGTGGTGGCCAGAAGCCAGTGGTGACGATTGCCCATACTTATGGTGGGAAACAGTATCCCTGTACAACTACCACCATTAAATTATCACAAAGAGGTACATTACTCATTTTATTAACCAGTTGGAAATAATAGGCGCAGTCAAATACCAACCAGGATGTAATCTGTGTTTGCATAATGACACAACATTGGATACATGTGCACGTTTCCAACACAACGTTGAAAGCCCTCGAAAAATAAAACATGAATAGTTCACCACTTCCCACCAACTGACAGTAGAGATACTGCAACGTCTTTATTTGGAATAAATCAACCTTACATTTGTATACGGATGTGTTCGCTAGTTGGACTTCCCTATTCTGTTTGCCTTTAGAGGTCTCACGTGTGCAGCATATTCTGTATAAAAGCCAAGAGATCCCAACTGTGAGACACGGCAGTGGAGAGGATTCACTCGTGATCGAGAAGCTCAATCTCCAGCAAATTGGAGAGCCATCGATCAACCATGCTCGCCTTTCTTGTCTGCGCTGCCCTGCTGGTTGGAGGTGAGTGCTTCTCTTTCTGACACCTTGAGCTGCTGAGTGATTGGAATGCACGCATTGATTAAGTGTAGCAACCATTCCATTTTCTTCAGGAACTGGACTGAGTTCTAGAAGAAGCTCCTGGCACCAGACATACCTACATGCCTTTTGACTGTGCCCGGATATCGCTAAATTCTTCCAGCACATTGCCAAATACTTTAATATTATCTGTGGCACGAATGTTGGGCCCTCCATGGATTCCCCCCTGTGGGGCCTGAAACTTGCAGTAATATCCAAACATCAGAAAACGTGACCCCAAGCCTTTAATACCATGGCGAGGAAAACTATCTTAGATAATTGGAAGGACCCCAAACTCCCTTCCTGGAGACATTGGAGTCGATCATCATACACTATAGTCGCAATGGAGCACCTTAGATTATAATCCTAAATAACACGGATCACCTGATGGCAAGACGATCATGAACCCGAACAGGGGAACCAGGGGAAATGGTGAGGAGGTGGGGGAGCATGCCACAGGCCTCACATTATTTTCAATATGCTCTGAATGAGAGTAATTCCTAGGAGGGGAATGGGCGGATCTGGGCTCCAATTGATCTCCTTTTTCACGTCACTCGTTATTTTGGTTATACCACATGGGTTATAAAAGGATCCCGATATACCCTCAATAACTCCTGGTGGAGGAGAAAAAAATAACCCGAGGGCACAAAACCTGGATATGCAAACGTTGCATGTACGTTGAAATACCCTCTGTCACAATCGCTGTTTCGGGTTTTAAATAAAACAGTTTTTGTGCCAGTTAAAAGGGTAAAACCTATTCCTATATCTTGTTTCTGGCAAAGGCGGTCTCATAATGTTAATGCTCACCCCGAGCCCTCAATACTCTGATAGTGCGCTGTTTTCGAGTTGTACGCCTTTTGGCGTCTTCTGGTCCAACACCAATGGAGACTCGGCTCTAAGAAAAGCTGTCTCGGGTGTGGACCAATCAAATTCAAGGACAGTGCATATTATTATCAGAGTTGTCTTTTTTGTTTGCATTTTGACTGCTTGTGTTGTGGTTATTGCAAACATGATGCCTTGAATAAAGGTGTCAGTTTTTGTGCCAGTTAAAAGGGTAAAACCTATTCCTAAAACAATACACTATATGTAAAATAAGCTCTTGTAACGTGGAGTGAAACATCGGACATCATGCAGAACAGTACAGGGTACAAACCAAAAACACATCAGGGAGATTCGTATGGTATTATGTTTGTGCTATTGTGTGTGTGTGCTATTGTGTATAGTATTGTGCGTGTATGCTATTGTCCCTTACAGCTGAGGTGTCTGCTCAGAGCTGTGGGATCGCAGCGTATCCCCAGATCCGCGTGGTGAACGGCGTGGAGGCTCGTGCCAACTCCTGGCCTTGGCAGGTAACGGGAGAGGCTGAATAACAGCCATCACAGCCACACGCTGCATTGTCAGTTGATCACAGTGCAGCAGCATCCATTTTTGTACACGCCACGTGGAGGCCCTCATCCAGCAGTGGATTGACAAAAGGGCTGCATGTGTGCAACATGACATGTTCAGATCTTCCATTCTTCCCAAAGACATTGAATGAGTCACTGTATAATGGGAGAGTGGAAGCACAGTGTTTTACGCACTGCACGACGAACCAGGCTGCATGGGTTACATTCCCAGCGACTGCTAACGTTAGTTGTGAGTGAAATCCTAACTAGTCCCAGGTAAAATTTTCTTCACAACCAGCTCTGGCAAGCATTTGTGAGGCAGTCGATTGACAAAAGGGCAAAGTTATACTGTATTATTCGATATTAAAATTGCACAGATTCCGAAAAAAAACACCGTAATCACCACCGCCTCGCTTTGTGTGCATTGCAGGCGCTCGTGCAGAGGTACTCTGGAGGAAGATGGGTCAACTACTGTGGAGGAACCCTCATTGATAGTCAATGGGTGCTCACCTCTGCGAGCTGCTTCACGTGAGTCATGGCACAAGTGGAGTCGCTAGTGTGTGTGCAGGCGGTGCAACTGCACCGGGGCCCAGGTGTTGTACAGTATTTTTTGTACCACATTGTGGCCACCAAGGGTGGAACAGTGTATCTTGGGAGCAAGGAGGCAGCTTGTATAAATGACCTTTACACGATGCCGCAGTGTGGCAGTGAAAATACCATGCAGTTACTCGCACCATTTCTGTTTAGTAATTTCTCACTGCAATGTTTACAGGTTTAAGTGATTTCGACCGCCCGTCGCTCTGTTATCTCCCCACATCCACCACAACGTGCAGGAGTGGCTACAGCTACAGGGTGGTGCTGGGAAAGCACAGTGTGTCCACATCCGAGTTCGGGGAGGTCACCCCTCCATTGAGCCTGGCCGTCTGGCATAGCTACTGGAATCCCAGCATGCCGGCGAACGGGTGAGAACGCACACGGACGCGCTAGTTAAGTGACACCGTGACATTCAGAGTTGCAATCGACAGATAAACATACATGCAGACAAACATTCATAGAGACATTCCAACAGACAAAAGACAGATTATTTTTAAACAAACAAACATTATCATGGACACTGCCGTAAAACGAAAGAACGCATAATTTGAATATCATATGTCAGTTAAGGATCATTTGTAAACAGTAGAATTGTATTATATTATAGAAGGCAGTGTTAATGGCAAGGCGATGAGTTGTCTTGATTTGTACTCGTACACTGTTTCCAGCACATGCCCATTCTTTGTTTGACAAAGAGACAGACAGATGCTACACAATGCTATTGCTTCATCTCATACAATGCTTCTGATAATCCAATAACTGGAATATACAGAAATCCTCATATTGATGACCGGCATACTTATCTGTGGGAGATGTGGCGTCCACACAATCTCCTATTATATGTGGTCCAATTCTTCCTATTATCCGTCATTTCCCCCCATAAATCATTGGAGTATAATAGCAGATAATAGGATCTGCAATATTGATCTCCCAGCGCTGAACCCCCAATGCTTGTTGTTATGTTCCTTGTTGAGCGTCGCATCACGGCTGCCCCTGGTCTCAATCCACCACAGGTACGACATCGCCATGTTCAAGATTGCATCGCCCGTGGCTCTCTCCAGCAAGGTGCGCCTCGCCTGCCTGCCCAGCGCCAACCAGATCCTGCCCAACAACTACCCGTGCTACGCCACGGGCTGGGGATCCCTCGACAGTGAGTACCGTTCACTCGGTGTGCATTAAACACAAGAGGGGGCAGAGCTATGGACACTTTGCATCAAATTCCATGTATATTGAGGCACCCATGCGGCAACCTCGCCAAAGGGGACCCCATTGGCAGCTGTCCCTGTCCACCAGAAGGTGAATGCAGCACCCACCTACACGTGGATGTTATGATGCCAACAGCGTGGCGGTGTTGCTACGTTGCTTTTCTCCTTTGAGCACTGAGAGTCGGACAGTTCGCTGGGGAGCGCCTGTTAACGTCACTTAACCCCGATGCCTTCTCACCAACGCTCTCCGTCTCCACGTTGTCTGTGCGCGTGAGCAGCCAGCGGCCCCTTCCCCAGCGCCCTGCAGCAGGCCAGCCTGCCCGTGGTGGACTACGCGACGTGCAGCCAGCCCAGCTGGTGGGGGAGCAGCCTGAGGAGCAGCGTGATCTGCGCGGGGGGCAGCACCCGCTCTGCGTGCTATGTGCGTACGGAGCGCAACGCGAGACAACCCGCGTCAATTGCTAATGAGAATAGTTGTCAGCAAAATGTTTCTTTTATATCTTCATTTAGTCAACAGTAACTGTGAGTGAACAACAATCACCAAGCGTGGCGATGGCTGTGACCACTGACATCACTGATTGGCTGAACTGGTAATGTTGTGGGAGCGAAAGGGGCGCACATTCAACCCATTTAATAACTCGAGTCGACAAGTAGTGTGACTGCTTTAATCGCCTCGTCTAAGAGAATTACTAAATGAAACCCACGAATACTAAGATTTGACTAAAATTTCACAGAGTAAGTGAATGCATGACTGCATTAAATCAATAAATAACAAACAAGAAAATATAAATGGTGACCAAATTAACGCCAGAACCAATAGGGTACGTATTAAGTCGTCACTTGTCATATTTTTACTGTTCCAGACCCTGCCACCTGTGTATAGCTACCAGAGTAGTGCGGGGCAAGACACAACAAGGTGTTTTGAGAAGGATCAGGCCTTGGGGTTGTGCCATATTACTCCGTTACTTAGCAACACGGTCCGAAAGCACACTTGCTAAATTTTCTCATCCAGATACCGATACAAGAGCCCCAAGCTCTTCTACTTACCCTTGCCAGCACCTGCCACCATATCAAGTTTCTGCTTTACCCAGAGTTAACGTGGATGCATGTCTATCCTCTGCTTTGCATCGCAGGGTGATGGAGGTGGCCCACTGAACTGCCAGCGGTGGGACAATGCCTGGGTGGTGCAGGGAATCGCCAGCTACGTCTCATCTCTGGGCTGCAACACGATCCGCAAGCCCACCGTGTTCACCCGCGTGTCAGCCTACAACAGCTGGATCAGCGCTGTGAGTGCCGAGGCTGTCAATGTCAACATCAATATTGTAGTAAAATGATAGTCAAAAAAATTTTCAATAGCTCGTCACTATCAATATCATTATTGTTATTGCTCTTCTCAATGGCAATATCATTGTCAATGTTTATATTGTTGTAAATATCAATGTAGGTGCATAGTCAGGGAAAGGTTGTATGGATGGGGCATGTGTGGAGGATTGAAATGGACATGTTACCATGACAAGCATTGACAGTGGAACCTAGTGGTCAAAAACCAAATGGAAAATGTAACCACAAGATGAGTCAGGTGATGACTACAATAGAAGATGCGATGGCTCAGTGTGATGACCTATTTATCTTTATCGATGACAATGCAAAGGTGGCATGTAGACTCGGTGTGGCTGGTATCGGCCAGGTATAATTGCTATCATGTTCGTTTATCTGTAGGTACTGACGTTCAAACACCACCCATTCCCCATTTCTCTCGCAGGTCATGAGCGTGTACCGTGAAGCCCCGAAGCTCGCCGAAGGAGAGCAGAGCGTCAACAGCGGAGTCAATGCCACAATTGCCGCATTCAAGAAGCCACAGGCTTAAAGCATTACGCTCTTTATATGGATGCTTCCACTAACCCGAGAATTACAGTTGCTTGCTATGGGTATGGCCTGTTTAATGTGGAATTGGGCCTGTGGGCATAGGATGGGTGGATCTATTCAGTGAGTTTGTGTGGTCATGCCAGACATGTTATTAGTGGTAATGACACTGTCACAATATGGCATTTAGATCAGATGATGAACAGTTCTCTATTTTGACGACAAAATATTTTTTTGGAATACCAACATGTGTATTGTACATCCAGTACTGAAAATACTATTTTAAAACATCTTTTAAATTGAAGATCCATCATCACATTACACTTTGCATACCAAGTTAAAATCCTTTACTTTTGTGAAGACATTGTTCAACAATATTGCATATACACTAACTCTTCGCCTGATGAAAAATGCTAAATTTAAACATCATCCATTCATATTCTTAGTTTTTTCGGTAAAGTCACGTTGAAGAGAAACAACAAAAATAACAAAATATATATAAAACAATAAAAAATTCTCACGACGTTTCGACCATAACTCAAACGGTCATCATCAGGTGTGTCGGTTTGCATAAATTTATTTATTTCCCAAGCAACAGTTGGAGTTGCAAGCTCACCGGACTATTAGACCACCATTAAATGTTTTCTTTGTTGCACATGTACAGCCCCTACATATCCAGGAACTTACATTACTTTTAATTAATGTCATTGAGGCTTTAATATACAGGTCAAAGAAAGGTAGCAATTGTGCAATTTCTTCCAATATCAATTGAGTTTGGATTGGATCACGAGATATACTTCTGTATTGGGGAAAGAAAGTCGAGTCAGGGTGATACAGCATTGTAAAGAAAATTTATTTTTCAAAGATTCATGCATCTGACGTGTTTTCTGAATTCGTCATACTGCATTAAGCTCGATACATTTCTAATCTGCTGGTGTATAGTTTTGGTTGGTGAAAAATAAAAGAAAAAATGCAAACAACATTATGGTTTATGTAAACTACTATAGTGAACGTTAGTGCACATTCACCAGACACCTAACAAAAAGCAACGATTCACCAAACACTCTTTACTCACCACTCATCTTGCACTCACTCGACACGCTACAGTACTCATTCACCAGGCACTGCTAGGCTATGTATGGTGCAAAAAAAGTTCAACATACAGTACATGCGACTCGCATAACCATCTCTACTCGACTGACCTTCAGACACCACTAACCTGCAACTCACCCGACACAAGAAACATACATGCATCGCTCACTTCACACTCACCACTTTCTAAACGCTACCGACTCCCGTTCTCACGACTCACTGAACACTCGCCAGTCACTAGTGTGGGGGCTACCGTCCCCCGCCATCACCATATTGTCGGGACCATTGCTCTCCGACTCCCCCATAACACTCGTCCCACTACACCCCAGCTGGTCTGTGGGGTCCGGGATGCCGACCCCCAATTCCTCGCCCCCTTGCACCTCCGACTTGGCGGCTGCCCGCGTCACCATGTTTCGATTGACGCAGTGGTCTGTTTTTACGCTCGCAGTGCGCTTTGCCGTTCAGAGGCGGCGTGCCGCTGTAAGCGCACTCGCCAGTAAAATCTCCGTCCCGCCCGTAAACAAACAGGCGCGGCGCGTGTTTCCCTCCCACCAGCGCTCCACGTGTTCCGATGATAACAAACACGCCCCTACCCTCTGCCCAGCCCCGTACACCAATCGCATGCAACGGGGTTGGAGCCGAGGGATGGGCGGGCGGGACGTTTGCCGTGCGCGCGCCGCTGATTGGGGAGGGTCGCTCAGCTCTGAGTGGACGGGCCCGCTCAAACAGTCGCGCGAATACGCGTGCGCTCGGCGCTTTAACTCGCTACTTCGCGATTAGAAAATTGTGCGGGTGCGTGACCACAACACAGCCACACAGGTATGCGATCGCTAAGCACTATTGTGAGCGATATCATGGGTACACGAGCACTGGGCACCACCGAAAGTCGCCACGTATGCCCGTACGCGCCACACAGTACTGTACACAATTGCACGGGTGCGCGATCGCAACACCGTCACACCAGTATGAGAGCGCTACGCGCTATTGTAAACAATCGTGCGGGTACGTAAACACCGCACACTTCGTCTCGAGGTGAACAGCCGCGCGTACACGTAGACACCCAGCACACTCTGCCCTCCACTTCACGCTCCCAAAAGGCCACACAACACAGTTTTATCCCCCCACTAGCGAATTTTATTTACCTCGAATAACCAATTTTATCTACGTGTGATGGTATGGGTCAGTGGACGCTAGTCTATCCCTCGGAGGTCTTCGATTCAATTTCTCCTACCGGTCGCCCCGCTCTCTACCCTGGATTTAAAACGCTTAAACTTATGCCTCTCTCCCTCGCACTTATTTCCACCCTGCTGTGCTGACCGCTGTAAGGGGACGAGGCGGCGAGTTGTCTCTGTAGAGGGGCGAGCCTGGCGGTGCTGGAGTACATCTCATGGACGTCTCGGACGGCTGACTCTGCTGCTCCTGGAACCGCAATGATCTTGAAGAAGAACTGACTTGCTACCTGAATCCCCCTCCCTTTATCCTACCTACAACAAAGGAATTTCGCCGTTTCGGTCTCTTGGCCTCCCGTCCAATCAGGGGCTCGGATTTTCCCACCCTTTCGATACCCGGATCCCAGCTCGGGTGACGTCGCCGAAGTGATCTCACCGACGTCCACTCTCTGTTCTCCCGCTACCAGTCCACTGACCCGTGCTTGTGCGTGTGTGGTTCCACTCGCGGTGGCTCGATGGCCCTTGCCGTGACAATGCACCTTTAATATTAGGTCGCGGCCCGCAGTGCATGTCAGCTACAGGGGGAAGATTGCACAATTTCCCGGCCGCAGGAAACCATGAAGTTCGATCCCACTAGGGACTTCTGACAAAAACCTATCGGCCGGGTGACCTCCCCTCCTGGCTCTACGTGGGGCGTGTGTGCGTTCGTGTGGGGGGGGGGGGGGGGGGTTGCGAGGGTGCACAGCATCGCCGTCGGCATCCCCCGGTGGCGGCTTCGCGGCGGTGGGCACGACCTCGGCAGAGCGGCTCTGCTGCGGCGGCCTCACGACTGTGCAGTGGGCAAAACGTGGACGTCTGAGGAGGCACCGGCCCCGGGAGAGTGGCGGTAACGGTGTCGCGGTGGTGGGCATGGTTCCCCTGGAGCCGCTCCGCTGCGGCGGCACCACATTAGCTATGCACCCATGACTGCAAAGTGAAACTTCGGTTTGAGGGGCTGCAACTACACGAATTGCAATACCACATTCAATATGGCAGGAAGAGCAAAACTCAGCCATTAGCAGTCGCAATGAGTTTCTGCTGATCATATCCGGTAGTTGTCTCACTGAGCTTGTCCTGGGTTGAACTTTCAACGATCCAGTAATAATAATACAACAGTATACAAATACAGTATATGCGTGTTTTGACATTGACATTAACAATGCTGAATCTACAATGCCTTGTTTAATATTTCACAAGGTTATCGTAAAATAGCAGTGCATTCTGAATATACAGTCCTAGAAATTATTTATTAAACGGAGATTTGTTTTTATGTGGTGGCAGTGGTGTTCAGGGGGTTCAATTCCTGGTGACGCAGAGCAACTGTGGGAATCGGAGTATAAACCTGACCTGGGAGCCTCCTAAGCCTAAAATAGGCAGAGGTCTGGCCACCAACATGATCATGAGCAATGCGGAGTTGCAGAAGGATGGACTGTGTGTGGCGTTGTTGCCCACACCCCTCCAGGCATTGTCTGAACATAAATAGGTGCTGCTCATCAGTGCCAGATTAACCTAGTGCGGGGCCTGTAGCACATGGTGTGTTGGTAGGAAACCAGAGAACCAGAAGAAAACTCCCTAGTAGGCATGTGGGTAAACAATCGATGATCTGCACTAATGGACCCTTGAATCATATTCTTGTATGGTACTGATATATCCTCGCCACATTGTATCGCATCAGGTGTAGAATACTCTCAAATATCTTCGTGGTCCACCAACTGTCGACTCCAGAACGCTGGATTACATGTGTAGTGACTAACTCGGAGACACTAAGAGGTGGAGGTACTTCTTTATTAACAAGCACCATCAGGGTTAACTGTTCGTCTATGGTCGGCGACGTTACTCAGTCAAGAGAGTTGGTAGGCTGCCTGACGGGTGACGCCCCGAGATGGTGAAGACAGAGACGATGACAAGATGGATGGTGAAGATGACGAGAAAAATGACGAGAAGAATGGTGAGGACTTGAGCAGCACGACAGGGATCCCACTCCATACGACAGCCACGAGGTCCCCCACAGGGGCCCTTCTTATACTGTCAGCATGGCCTGGCTCCGCCCCCGGCCACGCCCCCTTTCTAGAACCTACCAGCCGGTTTCTTGTAGTGACCCTTCTGTGACCTTTGCCCTAGACCCCCCTCTGGTGTATAACCTGGCCTGCTGACGTCAGAGCTACTGTAAGCTCTAGATCCACTTCCCCACCAGCAGCCAATGCTATGCTGCTACATTACTTATTTTATGCCACCACACATATGTGCGCCACTGTGCTCGGCTACAAAGACAAAAAAAGATCAAAAAGGTCCAGTATACCCACAATATAACATTTATTCTTATTAACTAATATTCCGTGTCGGTTTATTTTTTAGAACTAGGCCTCAGCAAGGTAAGGTAATTTACCGTTTTAACCGGGTTAAAGGGTAAAGGTGTCAACCATGCCAAGGGGTAAGGTAAAGGGTAGGGTAAAGGTAGAATGGAAGAATTACCCAGTAGGGTAAAGCTAGTGCGAAGTATTACCCTGTTTACCGCTCGCTAAAAGCTCCGTGGCGCAGTCTGTGGCCTCCATTTTAAATTGTAATCATTGATGTCGGACCAGATGGAGACGGACCACATTCTTGAGGTAGAGGATGAGGTCGAGGATGCCAGCAATCGAAAGAGGCAGCTGCATGCGTTCCCGTGGGAGCACACGCACGATTGGATGGAGGGTAATCCCCAAGTGCAGCAAGGAATGCGGCAGTGTGTGCACTGCTGCAAGTGGTTTTCCTCCCACACGAACGTGTCGGGGTGGAAAGCCCACCTCAAGAAACACAATGTGCTCGCCCCAGGCAGCGAGGTCGGACGTCGGCGTTGGCGAGCCGCCTAATGCAGCAAACGCTGAGCCGGCCAGCAATCCCGGATCGCCTCCTGGTAAAGTTTGAGAATGCGGTGGTTGATTTTGTTCAAGACCTTGGTCCACACATTGATGCAGGGATACGAGAACCCGTCGACCCACACCATCATTCGCAGGATTGTCGAGCATCATGCCATCATGCTGCCCATCATCGGGGTGTTCTTCTCCAACCTGGACGTCGCAATCTCGCTCACCATCGACAGGTGGTCGAACCACAACCTGAAGGGATTTTGGATGGTCACGGTGCAC